TCGAACCATCACGCCTTTTATGGCAGCTGCGTCAACAGAAGGTCGAATAGTTGAGTTGTCATTAACTGAGTTTGCAGCACTGAAAGCAACGCCTACAATGGCTAAAACTGCTACATCACCCAGGAAAAGCCATAAAAATCCAATACCCATACAAACAAGGATGATCACACCCAACCAAGCGAACTATAGATGAAAAACAAAGATCAGTTTTAATTCCAACACTTCATTGTTTTTTTCAATTTTGTGTAACTATTTACTACAATTTTGATATACATACGTCTGTACTATACAAATAAGAGTTAAGTTTTAGTAATAAAGCCTAACTTCTACAATTTTCTTTAAATGAAAAATAACATTCACTATTTCAAAATTGATTAGTAAAATCTTATTAAAACAAACTGTATCAAATTTTGTGTCAAATATTTTTTTATACAATTTATATTGAAAGACAATCAAATAATATTACATACCACACGTAAGCCTATTTCAGAATATTTATAACTGACCAATAATCCAAAGCCATCGAAAGCAATTGACACATAGGGATAGCAACTATTGTATTTGTTTGTAAATTTCCTGTATAGTTCACGTTTTGAACAAATGAGTTGACCAAAGAAAGACCCTGCAAAATTTATTATTCATAATCAATAAATAATCAAATACTTTAAATATACAATCAACATCAAATGTTTCTACACAAAGAAAAATATTCATAGTCGGAGAGAAGAAACCTTGAGAAGGTTAGTTTTTTTTATCAGGGATTATGCTCTACGTATTTTCAGAATCTTGAATAAAAATATTCAGTTTTAATTGCGTATGATTTTATCTGTTTAATCTAATGTTTTCAGTAAAATAGTTTCGAAATATTACAGAATTCTACATGAAATAGAAGCGTATGATTTAGAGATTGTTCATCATCATTTTTAAGTTATTAATAAAAAACAGTAATAAAAACTTACAAGAGAAATACCAAGCATAATGAGGAGAATTTTACGGGATCGTTGTAATTGAGGATCTTTAACTAGCGCCAAGGATCCCGCAGTAGGATTATTTATCACAACCATGTTTTCGGTTCCTAGTTTGTGCTGCATATGAGTACTGTGCAAGTATTTAGATAAGTGAATAAACGTACGAGAATATGGTTCTAAATAGAATAGGAGTAACTAAAATTATAAAAAAGAAAAGTTAAGAAAGAGAAATGCAATAAATTATGTATTGGGTATGGATAAAGAGAAGATGAACCCACTTCGACATTGACACGCATACGTTAAGTCTTCTGTGTGTCGGAAGTAAACGAAAATATCAAGAAATAAGACAAGAAATTTGTCTTCTCATATGACAGGAAGGAAAGATCTGGACAAACAATATGATCGTTATGTCGAAAATAGGAGAGAGGAAAGAAAAGAAGAACGAGAGGAAATGAAATAAAAGGACAGAAGAAGATATAAATCACACCAAGCGTATGGCGTATATATATATGTATATGCTTATGAGATCACGCCATACGTTGAACAATGACATGTATCGAACGATGACCATGTCATATGTAGATATATCGTAAAAGGTCATCGAAAAAGTATCATACTATACAAGAAATAAAATAATAGAACCATCGAAGATGACCTCGATAATACCTCTCTCTCTTGAAGATGAACGTCCTCGTTCGTCTTAACGTAAGAAATAAAAAAGAAAAGAGCGAGAAACGTCACACAAGAAGTTCCTTCTACTGCAACGAGGATGTTACGCAGAGTGCGCTAAGTACGTCTGTTCGTTCGTGCACTCTGATTGATTAATTAAAACTTCGAATCCGTTGTTGCTATACGGGTTCATCAAAGGGTTTTTGGGGTCGAGGAACTCAAATCTAATGTTAGTTTTTTAAAATTTTTCGGACCAATTTTTTTACACAACGGACTACTTTTTTTACAAAAATCGTTTTTTTTATAAAAGTTGGCTAAACGGTTATTGAGATCGGTAAAGTCAAATTTAAAGTCGGTTTTTGAAATTGTTTGAATAAACAGTTTACTGATAGCGGAGACACGTCGTTTCTACGAGAAAGAGCTGAGCGAGTCTCCAGACGAGCGTTGCTTATTGTATTGCATATCACGGTAAGTTCATTCGTCTGTGTTCTATTGAATTTGTGCTAAACTTGTTAATCTTGTTTAGCCTTGAGATGTTTGGATTGATTTCATGACATTTTCATGACATTTTCATGTACTTATCTGCTATAATCATGGTGTTACAATTGAATTGTATACGTAACTGATCAGAGAATATTAGTTATACGAGACTAATCTTCAAAAAATCTATTGAATCTTATCATTCCTTACAGCAGGTTTTGCTAAAACCAATTGACTTATTGTGTACCGCGTGTTTGGTCGATGAAGATCATAACGTTCTTTGTTTAGCTCTTGCTATCATTGAATATTATTTCGAACTTGTTGAATGATGAGTGAACGATATTTACAGAACTGATTATAATAATCATTTGATCTTGTGAACTGAAGCATCGACTGAGGTTTGTGCGATGTTGTCCAACATTGTATGCGTATATTGTTGGTAGTATATATTGATCCCAATTGTCACGATTCAGATCCTGTAAATTACACAGTTGATATTCGATTGTTACATTGAATCGTTCGATAATTCCATTAGTTTGTGAGTCATATGCTGTGGAGAATATGTGATTAATGACAATGTCCCTTGTGATCGCTTGCATTAGATGATTGTTGAAATGATAATCTTGATCACTAAGGATGTGTTTAGAAACATGACTACATCTAAATATAATATCTTTAATAACGAACTTCGCTGCTTTAGATGCAGTTGCTGTTAATACAGGCTTTGCAATGACAAACTTTAATGAATGATCTTTACATGTAATAACATATCTATTATCATTACTAACTATTTTATGTGTAGATTCCCAAAGTCCGTACAATCGTATCAAATATTTCAATTGGTGGTTTATTTGTTTCTAATAATCCAGGTGGTTTACAACGAGGTACATTATATCGTGCGCACAAAGAGCACTGTTTTACACATTGTTTGATATCTTTTACTTTATTAGGTCAATAATAATTATGTTTCAATTTATGATACGTCCTATCTGATCCATAATGCGTCGATGTTATGTTCATGTGGGCTAAGTCTAGTGAATACAGTATCCCTATATGCTGTGAATTCAATCCATTTATTCTCATCTCAACGCTGCGCGAATATATTTAGAGAATCTTGTGCTTCATTAGATACGTATTTCATCAGAAACAATTTCACAATGAAACAACTTCTTAAAAGCATTGATAAACTTAAGACTTTAATGGAGTCAAAATAATTTGAATTAAATAACAAACATGAAAAAAATAGTTTTTCCTATCCGTCACAAAATAAAACAGCATATTGTTCTAACAGAAAAAGACATCAACAAATGTAGAAAAAGTTCTTTGTGAACCTTATAAAGTGGCACAGAAAATGTTGATATTAGTGGAAATGAACGTTCACTTGATTAAAAAATCTATTCAAATGTCGAAAAATCTTCACAAATGACAAAAATATTGCTCAAGTTAAATAATTTGATTAAGGTAGGGATTCTTATTATCGATGAATCTGATGATGTAGATGAAGATGACGTCAATGAGACATAAAAGTATCAAAAGAAGGTGACACGCAGATTAGAAATAAGAATATTAAAAGGTGATACGCAGATGATAAATCTGGATGTCAAGATGGTGACGCACATTAGAAACATTAGAAACATGGATGCCAAAAATATCAAAAGAAGGTGACACGCAGATGATAAATCTGGATGTCAAGAGGGTGACGCAGATTAAAAATATAAATGCCAAGAATATGACGCAGAAGCTGGTATTTAAGAAGGAAATAACGAAGATAGCATTGATAAAGATAATATTAGAGAATCAACCGTCGATAGTTATGATCATTTCTATAAGTGCACATTTAATTATTGATATGCACCAAGTACGAGTTTTCGAAAGATGCTTGTTATTATTGAAATGGTGATAAAGAATATATTGTAGATTCGTACTTACATGGCTGCGTTTAATAATGAAAAATCTTTAAATAATTAAATACTCGAACAGAACTATTATCGTGATAGATAAAGCGGTACAAGTTTTACTTTTAGCTCAAATCAGAACACAACGCTAACATTTTTACTGAAATTAGGAACAATTCCTTCTTTTTGTATAAAATGTTGATTTCTAGTTTATTTTAGGACTTCGACTATTAAAATCAATTTCACAGCAACTGGGTATTTACAAGATAGATAAGCTCGATTATCTTGTGCTCATCGTCATACTATATACGTTATTTATTATGTATAAAACTTTAAATTATGTAGATATTTTTGTATTAGTAATTTGTTCAGTTGTCTAAGCGTTCATTTTCTTTCGAATAAATAAATGATGAACTTGTCTTTTCGTTTTTGAAAGTAGATTATGCATATACATACTTCGATCACTGTTAGCCTGTCTGTAGGGCTACGAGAGAATAAATAAAATTGTATATGAGTATATCTCATCGATTTTATTTAATACAAGGAACACGTATTCTTATCAAAGAAAATGAATGGTATATATACCAAAAGAAAAGAAGGAAAAAAATGTAATATATGATTACATTTTTAACTCAAAGAAAAAGAAACGAAAAAGGGAAAAATGTAATATATGATTACATTTTTAACTCAAAAGAAAAAGAAAAGAAAAGGGGAAAAATGTGATTACGTATCACATTTTTAATAAAACATGCATAGAAAGAGTGATGACTTGAGTCATCGCTAACACCTCCCCTCTTTGACAAGAAACTAAAACGAAAAGAAATGAAAAAGAGAAGAAGAAAAAAAAATTTTTTTTGTATGTTCGTTCGATATTGTTTCAGTAAGAGTAGTAGATGATTTTGGATCAGCTAGATTACACGTGGAAAGCAAGTTAAGAAATGTTTCATCGGATGTGGTAGTAGACGTGGTTCATTGTGGTGGAGATGATTCAGTATGTGGTGGAATCGAAGTTATAAGCTTCAATAACGGGACGTATGTCAGAAACGTGAAAACGTTTCACAACGCCAGTAGACTCATTACGAACAAAATAAGTAGGATGACGTACTTCAGTAACAATAGATGGTTCTGAAGAATAACGAGGATCTAATGAACCGCGTGCAGTAAAAATTTTCGTAAAGACGTGATCGCCAATTTGAAAATGAGGATCAGATCGATGTTTATCATAACGTACTTTATTAGATTGTTGTTGAGCTATAATGTTATTTTGAGCTTGTTGATGGTAAACTTGTAGAATTCGTTGAAGATTTTCAAAGCAAATATTCGGACGAGCAAAAGTATAAAATTGTGGAGGAAGATCAATGGGTAGTTGCGGTGAACGACCAAAAAGTAATTCAAAAGGTGAAAATTGTGTAGTTTTATGTTTTGCAGTATTGTATGCAAAAACAACAGGGTCGAGATAATCATCCCAGTTGTGATGGTGTTTGTCTTCGAGTTTAGAAATTTGTACCTTGAATGACGCATTGAAACGTTCAGTGACTGCATTAGTTTGAGGGTGATAGGCAGTGCTGTATATGTGATTATAACCAAAAAGATGAGTTAGAGCACGCATGAGATTGTTGTTAAAATGGGTACCCTGATCAGTAAGCAATGTAGAACAGACTCCATAACGACAAAAAACTTCGCGATAAAGTGCCATAGCAGTAATTTCGGCTGTATTAGTTGAGGTGGCGACAGCTGTCACATGACGTGTGAATAGATCCGAAATGATAAGAACAAATTTATTCTCACGAGGAGATTCAACGAAAGGACCACAAAAATCCATGCTGATCACTGAGTATGGAATATTGGTGGGAGGAATAGGGTGAAGATGACCGGGTTTTTTCTGACGATTGTAGTTGTATTGTTGACAAAGAGTACATGCTTGAACGTGAAGTCGAAGAGAGTCACGCATGTGAGGCCACCAGTAACGAGAAGCCAGTTTTGAATACATTTTATCAGTAGAAAAATGTCCACCTTGATAAGGATCATCGTGCATAGCCGTTAGAAGCGATTGAATCATTGAAGTGGGAAGATAAGGTACTGCAGTTGTGACAGGTGAAGTAGGAGACAATGTAACAACTTTGTGTAGAAGATCATCCTTAATGAGAAAAGAAGAAGACGTGTGCGATGCAGTATCCGGATTATGGAGCTGAGCAACGATGAGCTGAATATCAGGATCATTATCTTGTTCTTGTTTTAAAGCATGACAATTAAAAGTGTTTGGTGATGGAGAAGTAAGAATCGGAGAAGAAGACGTCGAATCGACCGTATCGTCGGTGTCGGTCTTGAATTCATCGTCTGGAATAGCGACATCGGTAATAGGAGTGGGTTTAAGACGAGGACGAAGAACCATAGGCGAGATACCTGGTGTAACAGGCAATGCCATAGAGAGAGACGACAGTGGTTGTTTGCTTTCAACACCATAAGGTACATCAAAGAGAGGATCATCGAAGGGTCGAGAGAGAAAATCGGGTAAACAGTTACTTTTACCTGAAATGTGTTTCATTTCTGCAATATTATATTCCTGAATAAGGTTCGCGACGCGCTCGATACGACGGTTGTTTACCGGCTTTTGTAACAGGCCACAAATAGGACAATGATCAGTATGAACATAAATAATTCTTCCCAAAACATAAGTCCGCATTCGTTGTAAGCACTGAAATATTGCCAGAGCTTCCTGCTCGGGTACCGAATATTTTCTCTCGATTGCAGAGAGAAGTTTCGAATGATAAAATATATTACGACGTTCTCCATTGATTTCTTGAAACAATACTCCACCGGTAGCGATGCCGCTGGCATCTGTTGATAGATGTAGAGGATAACCCTCAACGGGAAAATGAAGATACAGTTCATTTGTGAGCATATGTTGTAAAGCGACAAAGGCTCTCGAGTGTTCATCAGTCCACTTGAATAAATGGCGTTTGTCGCGAGTTAAATTTGTTATCTTGTGAAGAGGGGCAGCCAAACGCGCAAATTCAGGAACAAATTTACGATAATACGCTAATCCCCCTAAGAATTTATTAGCTTCCTTGAGGGTACGAGGTTCGCGGAGATCGAGTATAACTTGAATAGCTGTAGTAGTAGGAGTAAGAGTATGTTCAGAGACTATATGTCCAAGAAACTCCACCTTAGTAACGGCGATCTCACATTTCGTGGGACTAAGAACAATCTTATTGATATTAAAGATGGTAAAAACGAGGTTTAGATGATGAAGATGCTGTTGTAAAGTGGTTGAATAGATTATAACATCAT